CAGGGCTCTCAGCCGCCCTGTCTGCCACTTCCTCTACTCACCTCACCCGGCCACTCCTGGCCAGCCGGGCCCCTCCCTGCCCAGGCACCGTGCCCGCCCCCCGAATTCTAGGACAGCCTAGTCCCTCTACTTCGCAGAGCGCGTGGCTGCCGGCCCCAGGAGCCCAGCTTCTTCAGACGCACCCAGGGGAGCCCTGCCCTCCATCACCTCGATGACCTTCTGGGCTCAGGTGGACACTCGGGTGGCCCTCGGCTGCTCCAGGACAACTGATGCTGTTTCCACCGCCGGTCCTGCCACCCGTATGCCCACAGAGGCAAAGACACCGCCACCTCACCCCCATGCCCGCCCCGTGCCCCTCGCTGGAGATGGGATCTGTGCTGTCCACAGCCTGGTGGGATGGGCCGGGGGAGCCCCGCCCGAGAAGCGGCCCCATTTCAGCAGACGGGGTCAGGGGGCGCCGGTCACGCGCAGACGCCACGGAGCAGGCTTGGAATGGAGTCCAGCCGGGAGCCAGTGGCAGGCCCGCCGGGCTCCGCCAGGGCCACCGGTCGGACAGGGACGCGGAGCTCCGGCTGCAGGACAGGCCGGGCTCTGCTCTGAGGCCACGCGCCCCTCACGCGGCCCCTCCGGCCCCAAGGCAGCAGCGGGGGGAGCTGCCCCGGTTCTCCCATGAGAACGCGCTCGGCCCTCGGAGGCTGGATCTGCGGCTCCACGAGGCCCCGGTGACCTCCCCGCGCAGGGAGAAACCTCACCGCATCTCCAGGGACGCCACGGGCGCCGTCCCAGGGATCAAGGCCAGCCACAGCCGGTTCCCCGGACACCCAGGCACCTCTCCACTGAGCCCTAACTGTCCCCGCGGGTGTGCACCCTTCGCTCAAAATCCATGGCCCAGAGTTAAGCACCACTTTGCCCCGGCCGAGGCCAAGGCCCAGCAGAGCTGACGGAGGAGAGGGGATGGTGGGACCCTTATTGTTCCACAGATGGGGGGTCAGGCCTGCCCACCAAGACCGTCAGAGGGGCACCTCCAAAATAAGAGCTGTTCTAGCCCAGCTGGTGTGGCTCAGTGGTTGAGCGCCCACTCGTGCACCAACAGGTCCCCAGGTTTGGTCCCCGGTCAGGGCACGTGCCCGGGTTGCAGCCTCGATCCCAAGTAGGGGGCATGCAGGAGGCAGCCAATCGATGTTTCTCTCTAAAAAAAAGTCAATAAAGACATATTTTTTAAAAATTAAAAACAATAAAAGTCATTCTGTGGCAGGCAGCCAAGGAGGTGACAGGCACCCACTACAGTCCACCCCTTGCCATGCTCTTGCCTCTCTCGAGTGCACTTCCAAAAGCAAGGGTGCCCCACCCAGCTCGGCAGAGGCCCTTCCTCCGGCTGAGGCCCTTGTCCCCGAAGGAGGGCACGTCGCCCTGCGTCTCCTGGTCGCTGCGTTTGGTGACAGTCCAGGCAGGTCCCCTCCTCCTCTGGCTCTGTCCTGATCATCTCATTACCTTCGACTTATAAAATAAATTCATAAGTTGGGAAGAGAGGCGAGAAAAGCGAGTTTAGCTAAATTCTGTAAAAATGTATGTGGCACGGCAGGAAAAGACATTCAGCCGGGCGCTGGCCTGAGGCCACAACCCTGGCTCCCTGCTGGCCTCCACACCCCGGGCTGTGCCCTCCAACTGCCCGAGCCCCTTTCCAGCTGGGGTGGCCCCGGTCTTCGTTCCGGAGGGAGCTGAGGGATGAAGACCTTCGTCCCTGTGGCCCTGGCCTCCCACCAACAGTCATGACCAGGAGCGGGAGGATGAGGGAGGACCCGGGGCCCCTGATCCCACCCACACGGAGTCGAAATGTGAGAGGCAGACAGGCGTGAGCCGAGCAAAGGCAATGGGCCAGGGACAGAGGGTCCCCGGGGTGGAAAGCCGTGGGTGCCTAGGAAGGACACTTGTAGGGTGTGACCTCGTCCCCAGGGTGGCCTTTCCTCCCCAGAGAGAACATCTAGGCCTCGGCCGTGTTTCAGGCCCAGAAAAGCAGCTAAACCGGCCACAGCTGCCCTCAGGACCAGCTGCATTGAATGAAGGCCCCGACCCCGCCCGGGCGCCGACCAATCAATCCGTGGAGCCCACAACCCTGGAAGGACACCCCTGGGAAACTGCTGAATAGTCTACTGAGATCGTCCCCTGGGACTTCCCTAAAGTCTGCTCCCTCAAAGCCCGTAGGACGGGGGACCCAGGGCTCCCCCCAGCACACCCTCGCCTCTCCCTTCCCTCCCCTCCACCTTCCTCCCACCCCCCAGGCGTTACCATCACCTTCCTCACTCCCACGCTCCCAGGGCCCTTCCTTTGCCTCTAAGACTTGCTTTCTAAGCCCATTTCTTCTAGGAATTTCTTCTTCCACCTCTGTGATTAACCAAATAAATGCTCTCTTGCAGTTCGGGTCTTCGCTCTGAATTCCGTCCCCTCCAGAGGTTGCTGAACCCAGGTCCAGTCTGACCCCACGGGACTAACACCCGGTGCCGTTCCGCCACTTACAACAGTAACACCCCATTTCCTTTTT